TATCTGTTAATCGTTTTATTATTAATTATGCTCTAAATCACTAAAATTAAAATTTTGTCGAAACCATGAGAGGAATCGACTTTTGTCAAGAGTACCTTTTTTGTAGTGAATGAGTTGAATAATTTAGATTTCATATTGAAACTATTTTTTTTCCATTGGCGTAGGAGTTTTAGATGTTTATTTCCTGAAAAAATCAAGTTCTACGCCCATGGAATGATATTCATTATGATTATGATATGAGTTTCATTGCCCGATGAGTCTATGCCAACGTACCAAATTTGAAAATAATCTCATGAGCCGTTCAAAAGTTATGAAGCAAAATCGATTTGAAAATTTCAACTTCAGAGCCGTCTAGCGCCCAAACTAAGCACCTTTTTACTGAGGTAAGTTTGCTTGTATCGAATTGTTTTGGTCTGAAGAATATGTGGTAGCTTTTTGTAAAGACCTTTTAAGGACACCCTGTATATTATGTGAGTAAAATCGCATGGACTCTTTCAAAAATGTATAAAGCAAAAACGATTTGAAAATTGTAACTTCAGAGCCGTTCAGCGGCCAAACTGAGCAGTTCATACTGAATTGGGTTTTCTTGAATCAAATAGTTTTGGTCTGAGGAATATGTGATTGTGTTAGGAAGGTTATTGTATAAAAATCTTCAGGGACACCCTGTTGGTATATTGTTGTAAATTTATTTCTGGTACCTAATAAATATATGGGTAAGAATGAACCCGTTATTTTATGATGGTGGAAGTCTTCCAATTTGAAGGCATATGACCTCAAACGAAGGAAAAATCACCTGCGGCGCATTGATTTGATTCTGCCCCCCCTTCAGAAAATTTTCTTCGGGCGCCCATGATAGCAACCCCATTTTGAATACAAACAAATCCGATACATGTGTGATAGTTTTGAATTCAGAGAGATTCTAAAAATTGAATACCTATATATAACTAGTGTTCCATTATAAAAAATTGCCGCGGACGTCATTACTTAAACGAGGATCACCCTGTATATTCAGTTTTTCCTCATAAATGTGGTAAATTGAAATTAAAAATCGACTTGTTTTAGGAGATTCCCCAGAAATGGATAGTTTGGGGTAAAAAATGCATTTATTCATTATTTTACGAAAGTATAGGTATATTATAAATAAATACCTATACTTGCTTCCGAGAGGGAAAAAGAGAGAAAATCTTTATTAGGGATATACCCCAAAAGGCCATTGACCGAAGTCTTTCAGCCCGTATGATTTACAAAGTATCAGGCAACCTCGAAATTTCCAAATCTTCCAAAATTAATTTTTTCGACAAAAATGAATTCTGCTATTTGATTTTGTTTTTTTGTCTTCATTCCCCACTTCATATTTCGCTTCAATTTTGGAGATACCGGTGATATTGTTTGATGATCATACCACGTCATACCCAAATATAAAAATGTGCAGCAGGCGATGTCTTCAAACTGACAGTGAGTGTTTTCACGGGTGTGGACAGTTGTATATGTTGATTCATTCATCAATGTGCCAAAAAAAAAACAGTTTCTATAGATACCTACCTTTTCGTACACAAACGATCGAGGGTTCTTCTTATTCGAAAAGTATTCTTTGATTATATTTGGCGCTTATTGTTTCTTGATATGCCAGGGACGCGACGCTGCAGGACAAACGCGCGGAGGGGTTTGCCCTGCTACCCTAAGGGCTAGTCCGGCCCTGGAGAGAGAACGAAGACTCAAAGCTACAGACTATAGACTACAGATGACAAATTCCACCCGAATGAAAAAAGCTAGGGAAGATCAAAAACGTGTCGTTTATTCCCAATAGATCCCACGTTTATTTTCTTACATTCCCATAGATGCCCATGAAGTACCTACCTGCCATGTACCATGTTGGTGTAGTGCGCTTTTTAATGTGATTTATGCATTCAAGTCTCAAGTGTACGTCGCGTCTGAACTGCTATCCAAAAAAAATATTTTTTGCACGAATATTTGCCTAATTTACTGTTGCAACTGTAAATGTGCACTGCGACGTACTACGACGCGTCTGAATTTCCATCATAAATAAACATTCTTTTTCACGAATATTTGCCTAATTTAATTTGAATCAGCATTAATTAACAGTTGCAACTGAGAATTAGACAAAGAAAATATTTTTTCAAAACATACCCTAATTTTCAGTTGCAACTGTAAATTAGCAGTATTAGCACTAATTTACAGTTGCATCTGTAAATTAGGCAGAGGAAACTTTTTTCCTGCACATTTACGAATTAAAGCCTCACAGTCTCCGTTCTCACAATTTCTCATCAGACATAAGCAGCTTTCTATCTCGTTATTTTTGGTAATATTCTCTCAACAGGTCTCAAGGAAGCTATTATTGTTATTTATGTACAGGGAGTCCCACGTAAATGAGTCACCCCCCTTTATCCTCGTAATTCTCAACATGTTTTGGTTCGTCAAAAGCTTTTCTAAAATATTTTATTACGAATTTGTTGAATCTATACTCACTTTCTCTTTATACAAACAAAATGCAGGGAGGCCCCGAAGAAATTGTTTTTTTTTTCAAACGATATGATCTATATTTTTTCCATAATTCGATGAAGCTCGTCAATCTGAATTCCGCTAAAAGGAGGTCAATCCATTAACCATATTATTATATTCCTTGAACAAAAACAATATTAGTTTCCAAATACCATTTTTCATTTTAACACTTCATATTCGATATCGGTGTCAAAGTTGGAAATTAAAAACTGTTTTTTTTTAATTACTCGCGTATTTAATGAGATATTAATCTCAAAATTGGTACATTACTTCAGCACAAAGAGTTACATCGTGTGAGGAAAACAAAACAGAAAATAAGTGTCGAATACTCAAAATACTGGGAGTCAAGTACACACCCCCATATTTTTTTGTACTTGCGCTAATGACTTTCCTATCTTTTTTTCTTGAAGTGTTCACGTACGAAAAGGTAAATATGGAAATACCGGGTGCTCAGAGCGAATGTATTGAAATAATTTTTACAAAAAAATTGATAGAAATTGAACACGTTTAATTTAATTTCCAACTTTGACACCCTGTATATCGAATATGAAGGGCATAAATGAGAAATAGTATTTAGAAACGCATATTGTTTTTGTTTTTGGATTGACCTCCTTTTAGCGTATTATTATCGAATGAAATTTAGATCTTTTCATTTGTGGAAAAAAATTTTGTTCTTACCCACCCTGTGTTTTTTGAAATAAAGAAGAAATGAGTATACTGATCCAAGAAATTCTTTAAAAAAATATTCCAGAAGAGTTTTTGAATGACCAAAATACGTTGAGAATAACGATGATAAGGCGGGATGACATATTTAGGTGGGACACCCTGTACCAAGGACAAAAAAAATTCTATTGAACTATAGCTTGCAAATTGATAGAAGAGGCCCAGCCGAGGCTACCAAGCAGGCGGGACAATAGACAGTTTTTTGCCGAGGTGCAAATCAAATTTTTAGTCGTCTTCACACACTTTTATTCACACGACCAATGTCTTATTCACAGGTAAAATCTATCGAATCTCGTAAATATTTAATTTGACAACAGCAAATGACAGTTATTGTTAACTAAACCGTTAATCTCGCATCGTGCCGTATCATAGTGACCACGGATGAAAAGTATGTTTGCGGACGGAAAGTTAATGTCTGCGGACGGAAAGTACTTACCTTCAAGGATAGTCGATATTTACGAGGATTTTTCATTCGAAATTTAGTAGGTAAAATCTGGTAGTAGGTAAAATAAGTGGCTTTTCAATAACTCTTAACCGGCATACAAGGTGTATGTTTCTTGCCTAAGCAGAAAAATTACACAACATTGGATTTATAACATTTGAAGAAAAAATTATGTTTCACATGGCAGAAAAGATGATTCAATGCGAAGAATCAATTTTCAGGAGCATTGGAATTTTACAGCCATGAAACAATAATTTTACTGGGTTACTTCAAGAAATTTTACCCCCATTTTTTGGTTAATTTTGAAAGTTGTATTTTCCTAGATTTTCTCAAGGGATGCATAAGAAACAGAAACTCATTGAAAATGTGTGAATGGATACACAATAAAAAAATGTCAGTAAATGAATTCTACCTCTTTTTACGGACAATGGGGCTCCCAGAACCCTCCCCCGATATTTCTGGTTTTTCAATTTTTTGTCAAATGCACCCCCTCACACCCTTGATCATCTTCGGCACTAGTTGGTGTCAGATTCGGGCTCAGCAGCCCCAAAAATTTCCCGAATTTTTTATTTTCTCGGTTGAATTCACCCCTCCATCCCCTTGGCGCGCGACCTCGGAAATAAGAAAATGACACTTTAGCAAAATCAACGTATGCAAACAATACATTCGTATGCAAACGCCATTTTGTTTTTATCTATGACTAAATCTATAGCCTGATAGAATGGCATATGAGATTAATATAATCTCGTAGCGTATATAATATACAGGGTGTCCGTTTTTCGAACTCCACCATGGGGATATCAGTTATTATAAGATATACGACGTCGGTTAAATTAGGGCAAAGTTGCGCATCAAGGTGCGTAGAATATTTGTGAAGAGAAACAAATTATCATCAATTCTACCAACCTTGCAAGGAATCATCAACACTGCCACCTACACAGCGTGTTTACAACTTGTTATTGGTGTGCTTTGTCACAGCGTTGATTGATATATTACGCTTACGCAGCGTAAGCGTAATATATCAATCAACGGTCACAGTCACAACGGTCACAGATTGCTTGGGCTCTTTTCAACCGATAAAGACGATTCCTTGCGCCACGCGCTGCGAGATCTGTAATCAGGTTCCTGCATTTCTGTATGGTTTCTGTATGTTTCTGGCAGAATTCTAACAGAGATAAACGAAGTGATTCTAACATAGAGTCACTGTAATTCTAACCATTTATCATTTACAGAGATAAGTTACCCACTTTATCATTTATGACAATACACGACTTGACCAATCATGACGAACCACGAAATTTCTGAATTTGTCAGCAGAGCAGAAACTGAACCTTGATGGAGTAGGTGGAAAGAAGAGGCCGGGTAATAAATAGGATTTTAATGGAAATTTAAGTTGATTGAGGACTGAAGACTGAAGGCTTGACAACCTGATCGAAGTATTGTTATAAGACTTCAAATCCAATATGATCAAGATAATTCGTAAGTAATGATATGGAATATGATGTTGGAATAGCATTTTTAGGTTATAACATTTCGTTTTTTATAGTTGTTATTGCATTTTTGGCAAATTCTTGTTGGGCACTTTATCCAAGTAGTGGAAGTGTGGTCGAACTAACGCCCAGCAATTTTGATAAGTTAGTTATCAAGGGAGATGAGATATGGATAGTGGAGTTCTTTGCTCCTTGGTGTGGACACTGCCAAAGTTTGGTACCTGAGTATACCAAAGCAGCAAATGCTCTGAAGGTAAGATAAGTACATCCTTTATACTCACAACATTGGTACTAAAAAAATACCTACTCAGAACATCTGAAATTTGTCGCTCTTTTGCTTTATTGAACCAGTAACTGGAATTCTTCAAAAAGATACCACCTTAGATACCACTCTCCATAGGTTGACCAAATTTGATGATTATCTCATTTTTAGATACATTCAGTATATATTATGGCTTAACTACTGTGTTTCAAGAATTTATAACATACTTAACACTTTCTGTTCTGTATAGGATTTAGAACAGTAATGATGGGTTTATAGATTCCATCAAACTAACAATTAGGAATTAACAATTAACAATCAATAATTAATAATCATAGGTGTGTTTATACATATCTGATATTAACTAAGAATTAGATGTGAAATGTCTTGATTGTAGATCAAAATAATGTTGAAAAGTGATTTTGGTCTCCACAATTCTTGAATCCATAAAAAATATTCCAATGAAATATTACCAAACTTCACTTGAACAATAACAAATGCTATCTTCATGTTCTGTCTCCAGAATTTCCTAAATCTAAGTTATTAAGCTGAAAGTTGGCCAACTGTAATTCATAATTCCTAATATAATTGACAGATGTAAATGTATGAATCCTCATAATGTTTCATTGTATTCATCTTTTTAAGTTCATAGTTGTTAGTACAATTCTTAGTTCAATTGAATCTATAAACCCAGGATAAATGCATACTTAATACTTTGCATTATAATCAGTGTTACCAGGTTTAAAAAATTGACATCACCAAAATTTCTTGAGAAAGTCACCAGAAAATCGCAAAATTTCAGGAAAATAGTCACATGATCCTCATGAGAAATGTAAGTTTTCATAAAATTACATCAATTGATTGAATTAATATCTTCCTTCAGAGCAGGGGAGTGAACTGCAACAAAACTGTAACTGATATAATACCATAAGGACAAGGAAACATATCTAAATCCATCTCACTACTATTCCATTAGTGAAAGAAAAATATGCAAATAACAGATTTTTTCTTCAATCTCAATAAATTTGACAACATCCATGAAATGGATGGAAAAAATCATAAATAAATTCTACATTAAAATAGAAGATGAGATATCATGCTTTTAAACATATGAATATTCATTGAAAGTTTTTTCAAACATGGAAAAGGAAAATAAAGAAATATGTAGGTATAGTTTATCCAAAGTCAATTGGAGCGTCTCGCACCGCGCGTGCACTCACTTCAAAAGGAACTTCAAACCCGCTGTCACCATGGTAATGCCAGGAAGGCCAGAGATGCTCTAGTTGACTTTGGATATACTACTTAAGTCAATGAAGTGCTCCCAAGGGCAGCTTTCCTCTGATGCACCAGCGCGGGGCATTCAGCAAGTATGTGTGATGATGTTTCATCATCCTCCAAGCACCATCTGCAGATAGAATCATCTTTGATTCCTATGAGCTCCAGGTACCTGTTGAGGTGGTTGTGTCCAGTTAGCCCAACTATCATCTTGGAGCTTTGATTGTTTCATTCCTGGTGTGTCCCGCCATGTTTCAAGAAACTACCACTGTAGCATTTCCTTTATGAAGGGCATAGCCATGCTATTGGGTATTCCCAGTATCGGTTATATGGTCCAATGGGTGTCTGCCTCCTCTTGTTCCCAGGGATATTCAAGTATCCAGGGTCCACATGGGACTGACTCCTAGTTTTTGACATATTTTCCTAGGCACTTCTATACTCTGGCACCAATTAAGTTGTGATTTTATTGGATCTCAATGCCCTAATAGCCGCTTTGCTGTCCGAGCATATGATACCTACAACCAATTCTCTGAAAAATTATCCGCAAGTCATTGAAGTAATGGACATTCATGTAGACAAATGTTCTTCCTTTTCCCCACTCCTCATTTGAATAGCTAGAACAACAGGTATGGAATCAAAATGAAACAAAAAATCTTCTCGATATTCCAACCAGCATGATTTGATGCTCATTAACGAGGTATATTTTGGAAAAAACCCGTTTTAATAGTTCATCATTATGATTCATTTCCAGCTTGTTGATTTCTTATCTCATGTTATGTTTTCTTATCAGAAATTGATCAACTTAGAAATCAAGATTACAACTTTACGAATACATTATAAATAAGTGGCCGTTTTTAGTTGCAATTGTATTGTATTATTCAATAAAAAAACCATGTCATATGGGCTTGAGAGATCTAGCATGTAGAATTGCTCCAATTATCAGCAAGAGCGTAGAGACTGGTGGATCTATTTCCATCCATGTTTGTACTATTCTGCCCAATTTGGAGTGTTTATTTACATCTTCAAATAGCATCCTAGTGTTATTAAGTTAGTTTTTATACCACCATCTATTGCCGAGTGAAGAGAAAACATGTAGATTTCCAGGTAATTTTAGAGAAGTAGGTATGTCTTATTGGACATGCTTCTTTTGTATTGTTTTTCATTAACCTAAGTGGAAAGAGTTTAGACGGCGTATATGTGGGGTTTAATCAATGATTTATCGCGCACTTCGCCATCAGGAAACGTGTGCACCTCAGATAGAATCAGAATTGGTATTTTGTTATGGCATTTGGTTCAAAAAACGTACTTACCTGTATATATGGCTCTGAAGAGAAATCGTTTTTGTTGCTACATCATCTCCATTTTATTTCATAATCATTCAGTAAACATGGATATCTGTTGGCTTCTCATTGAAACTGATACCCCCCTGTAAAATACAATTGCTCTAGTATCCTTCAAGTTGAAATCGGGTTGTGACATATTTTCCGTTTGAAATGTTCAAGATATTTGTTTTTAGGGAGTCGTTAGAGTAGGTGCAGTCGATGTAGATAACCATAAAGAGTTAGGAGGCAGGTATGGGGTACAAGGTTTCCCAACTATAAAGATTTTTGGAGCAAATAAAAACAAACCAGAAGACTACAATGGTGGAAGAACTGCAAAGGATTTGGTTGAAGCTGGATTGAAAGCTGCTAGAAGTAAAGTGAAAGCATCTCTTGATGGTGGATCATCTGGATCTTCCAGTGATGTAAATACAAAGAAAATTATTCCAAGTACACATTTCAATTGATTGTAAATTTTAGTCTGGTGATGATGACGTTATTGAACTTACCGACAGCAACTTTGATAAACTTGTATTGAAATCAGATGACTTGTGGTTGGTTGAATTTTTCGCACCATGGTGTGGTCATTGTAAAAACCTTGCTCCACACTGGTCTAAAGCAGCTAGGGAACTGAAGGGCAAAGTCAAACTTGGTGCTTTGGATGCCACTGTTCATCAAGCTAAAGCGGCGAAGTATGGAGTAAAAGGTGAGAAAAGTATTAAGAGGAGTATAGGCTAGGTATACCCCAGAGGCAGGTTAATAACATTTTGAAAATATTTATGGATTTGAAAAAAGTAGGGAAATGCTGGGGTTTTACGTTTAATAAAAATTATCTTGAGAAATAAGAATTATAATTTTTTTGGTTGAATAATTCAATCATCTCACTGAAAGGCTACCTAATAAGACAGATTTTGTTTGATTTTTAATGATCTGTTTGAATCAGGCCGTGATTTCAATGATGTTGAAGAATGTATTGGAACAAAAACATATTTATTTGAGTAATTCTTGTTCAATGTGGAAAATTCCATACCAGTTCACACGCTTATAATTCATCGGCTATATTTCTCTAGGTTCTAAGATTCTTAAAGGCATGTCGTTATAACAGGTTACCCGACTATCAAATTCTTTGCTCCTGGGGCCAAGGACTCTCCTGTCGACTTTGACGGAGGCCGAACTTCCAGCGATATTGTGAATTGGGCTTTGGACAAACTCGCGGAGAACATTCCAGCTCCTGAATTGGTTCAAATCGTCAATGACCAGTCATTCAGGGATGCGTGTGAAGACAAACCGTTGTGTGTTGTAGCTGTTCTTCCACATATTCTAGATTGTCAGTCAGAGTGTAGGAATAGCTATATCCAAATGCTGACCAACATGGGTGAAAAGTTCAAAAAGAAGATGTGGGGGTGAGTGTATTGTTTCAGGAAAATGTAATCTTTACAACTGCTGTATCAGTTTATAGTGTTTTTCTCTCATAATAATTTGTAGAACATTTGAAGTTACCAAGTTACCATGTTAGGGAAGATGATCAAGTTTTCTGTAATCACCATTTAAAGAATTATAGTATTCTCATTATGAAATGAGAACCAGTCTATCAGATATATAAGCATCATCAGAAAATTCATATTTTATCAGATCCACTTGGCCTCATGTATTTTCGTTTTCGAGCTCCTAGTAGGAATGAGGTTTTCATAGAACGGCTGCTGCACCAACTAGATAGATTTTGAGCTTTGAAACATTTCTTTGCAGTTGGGTTTGGTCTGAGGCAGGATCACAACCAGAACTGGAAGCTGCCGTGGATATTGGTGGTTTTGGATACCCAGCTATGGCTGTTGTCAGTCCAAAGAAATTGAAATACTCCATTCTTCGTGGTGCATTTTCCAAGGATGGAATCTATGAATTCTTGAGGTAATATTTAGTGAAAAGTGTAGAAAAATCGGATGTTGATTTGAAAATAATCACTTCCGTTCTCATATCAGGTGACCTAGGTGGAAGTTATTTTTGATCAGTATTCTGAAATTAAGACATTCAGAAACACCATCACAAGTTCAATTCCTTGATTGCTCTTCCAACAAAAGTGTTGGCAAAACTATAGTGAATCGCTCTGCATTTTCAAAAATAATCTGTAAATTGTTGCACTTGTTTATCACTTCTTTGTTTCTTTGAAGAGTGAAGTAAAAATTTCAAGGAATACAACCAATATTTTTGTAGGGACTTGTCTTATGGCAAGGGTAACACAGCCCCTGTCAAGGGTGAATCACTTCCGAAGATGAACACTATTGAAGCTTGGGATGGTAAAGATGGTGTGCTTCCAGAAGAAGAAGATATTGATCTCTCTGATGTAGATCTAGATGAGAAAGAAGAATTGTAAATTTTTTTGGTTTCCAAATTATGTTTCTGTCCATTACTAATCAATTCAACTGTGAATTAGTAATACACAGATTCAAGATTTTCATTATTTATTCGTCATATGGTTTGATTAGTTTTCTTTAAAATGTTCTTTGAAAATCATTTCTAACCGTTCAGTTTTTGTAATAAGTTTTGTAAATTTGTAACATTAAAGTCTGCTATATTTTTAATATGTTGCTTTTATTCAATAACTTCTTTCAACAATTCCCAAGGGAAAACGACCAATAAAAATGGCACATGTAGAAGAACAGCAGGAACTGCATCCAGAACTAGATCAATAAGGTGGGAGCGCATTATTGTATATAGAACTGACTAGATATACCTACCTAAGTAGATGCGTATTTGGCACTTGAGTTTTGAATGAAGAAAACGATATAAGGTGTGCATTTCTGTATTGTTAACATGACTGTCTTGAAGCTTACTGGATATACTAGTTGATAATCTGTTATCTTTATTCAAACAACAATAAAATGATTGAAAATATCCTGTAATGTTCAGAGAACATCGTGAGAACCAAGGGAAATAAAGAAGGAATTGGTGTTCTTCTTGAGTTTCTGGAGGTTGTATGCCTCGGGGAACACCTCCCTTGGCAATGTATTCCAGAGCCTCGCTTTTCGTTGGATGAACGAGTCTTTGGAAAGAGATGTTCTGCAGAGGTCTCCAAAGTGACCACAAAAGGGTGCGAAGCCTGATCTCGACGGGTTAATCTCGCGAGGACTGCCAAGGGAGGAACAATTGTTGATATTTCAGAAGAGCATCGTCCATGAAAATATCTATAAAATAGAGCCAGATCGCCAACTTTTCTACGGTGTTCCAGAGAAGTGAGTGAGTTTGTGAGCGATGCATCACCCACGAGACGAATTGCTCTTTTTGCTCTTTTTTGGAGAGAATCCAACAGTTTCAGGGTATGTTTGGGTGCTGCACTCCAAATATGGGAACAGTATTCCAGGACAGGTCGGATCTGTGCCTTATAGATCATAAGCAGCTGACTGGAAGTGAAATAGCTCCTGGCCCGAAACAGACAACCAAGTTTTTGGGATGCACATTTAGCAATTGACCTCATGTGATTTTCCCAAGAAAGGTTATTGCTGATAGTAATACCAAGCATCGAAATAGATGTCTTCAAAGGTATGGTTACTCCTGACAAGCTTATGTTGGGCACAGTGAGATCGGCTTTTCTAGAGAAAAGGTCAACAAATAAGGTACAAGAAATTAACGTTGACAAAACTCCCCGGGATCTTATTCCCTGATGCTCAGTGGGTTTCGTTCAGAAGGCTCTACTTGTTAAAGCCTTTTGAGTTTAATTCATCTAGCGAATGTGAACCCAATCGGGTAATCCTTGTATTAATTCAATATGGCAGATTTTGAATTTTTGTCTAAATCCATAAATCACTCATGTCAGTAAGGCATGGTTATGGACATTTGTATATGGCATTTCTCAATCATATTAGTCCCAATAACTCCATAAGTTTTTTCGGTTTTATCTCTCTGGACACCCTGTATATCATAAACCTCCGATTTGGGTAAATTGAAGAAAAAAAATAACAAAATTTGTCATTGAATAACTAACAACCAATATATGAGGTATAGCGTCAAAAGTCAAAATTGTGTATGGAAGTTTTTCTTCGAATAGGCTATACCCACATTCTCCAACAAAAAGGCCTCATCATATATAGGTGTATTTTTTGAAATTTTGACTCCTTAAACATAGTAGGCCTTGAGAACCTCAATATTTTATATTTGTCCACACTCCCAAAGAAAGCTCGTTGAGTACTTGGTTGAGTACTATATAATCGAGTTTTTGTTTTGAAAATCTGTCAAAACTGATTTAAAATAAGTAGGGTCTTGTGATTCGTTGTTCAGAGAGTAGGGTGTAGGGTGTTGTGAGTCAAAATAGCACTGACTGTATATAAACAGAGACATCTAGTTTTCTGTTTCCTAACTGTTCACTATTGGACGTGTAGGCTAGTATTTTTGATTTGATAGATCACAGGTGTCTACCATTTCCGGGTCATAGTTTTCTGTTTTCCAACTATATAATGTTTGGTTGATTTTTAAAACGCAAGATGGAGCAATACGTTTCACCACTCGAATATCACGTTTGGCGTTGATTGAAAAGTACGTTAGGTCAATCAAATCATAGTCCATTGACTTGTTGAGGGTCGAATATTTTTTATACTGTATGATCTTCGAGGAGGTATTATGTTCATACTGAATATTTTTTATAGACAGTAAGCTTTGCAGATTTTTTCCCATTGGTCATGTCTGGTCCCTTTTTGGTGTAGGTAGTGTCCTTTCGTTGATTTTTGTTTATTGAAAATTACGCGACGTTGACGTTTCGCATACTGTTCGGTATTCGTTGCGGGTATGGATATCGAATGTTTTCCTGTTGATAAACAAATGTTTGATTTTTTAATGAAATCCTCTCCTCTAGAGCCAAACAGGGTGTGTATAATGCGGACTGGGATAAAATGCTTCGAACTGGCTATTTCCGGCAAAGAAATCGTTGTTTTTATTGCATATTTGGATTCAGTTCAAGTTTTCAAAAATTTTCCCTATCTCTCTTGGGGTCTTTATTCGTGTGTTTTTTTCATAAAATCTTGTGAACTGGGTATTTTCGCGAGCCAAATTGTCTAAATTTTTCCAAAAATCGATTTATTCCATGAAAATTCGCGATGATAAGTTTTTTAAATTTTTCCCCTCGGAGCGCACTTTATTCGTGTGTTTTTTCATTAAATTTTGCTGACATGTTATTTTTGCATGAAAATACAGGATGTGAAAGGTTTCTAAAATTTTTCTCTAGCCTCCCTTGGGAGCACTTTATCTTGTGTTTTTCATAAAATCTTGCGGACTGGGTAATTAATTTTACGTATATCAAATCAACTCAATTTTACCAAAAATCAATTTATCTTATGAAAATAAAAGTTTCTTCAGCAAAAGTTTCAAGAAAAGTTTTTTTTTAAATTTCCCTAGCTCCTTTGGCTATCACTCTTCATCTTGTATTTTCATTAAATAAATCAATTTTTTGGGAAATTTGAGACGATTTGACCAGCAAAAATACCCAGTCCGCAAGATTTCATGAAAAAATACACGAGTTAAGTGCTCCCCAGGGGGGCCAGGGAAACATTTTGAAAATTCTTCATCATGTATTTCCATGAGTTAAATCGATATTTGAGAAATTTGAGATGATTTGACTCGCAAAAATACCAAGTTCGCAAGATTTTATGAAAAAACACAAGAGTAAAAGTGCTTCCCAGAGGGCTTATGAAAGCTTTTAAAAACTTTTCATCGAGTATTCTCATAAGATAAATCGATTTTTGAGAAATTCGAGATGATTTCACTCGCAAAATTACCCAGTCCGCAAGATTTTATGAAAAAACACAAGTATAAAGTGCTTCCCAGGGGGGCTTAGGAAAGCTTTTAAAAACTCTTCACCGTGTATTTTCATGAGATAAATCGATTTTTGAGAAATTTGAGATGATTCGACTTACAAAAATATCCAGTCCGCAATATTTTATGAAAAAACATACGAGTGAAGTGCTCCGCAGGGGGGTTAGAGAAAAAAATTAAAAACTTCTCATCGTGTTTGTTCATAAAATAAATCGATTTTTGCAAAAAATTCAGATCATTTTACTTGCAAAAATACCCAGTTCGCAAGATTTCATAAAAAAACACACGAGTAAAGTGCTCCCCAGGTTGGCTAGATAAAAATGTTAAGAACTCTTCATCGTATATTTTCATGAGATAAATCGATTCTTGCGAAAATTGAGATGTTTCGACTAGCAAAAATACCCAGAGCGCAATATTTTATGAAAAAATTCACGAGTAAAGTGCTCCCCAGGAAGGCTATGGAGGAATTTCAAAAACTTTCCATCGTGTATTTCCATGAGATAAATCGGTTTTTGGGTGAATTGAGATGATTTGACATTCAAAAATACCCAGTAAAGATTAAAGTGCTCCCCAGAGGCCAGAGCAGTGAAAAAAATCGGAATCCAGATACCTATGCAATAAATACAACGATTTGTTCGCCGGAAATAGCCGTCCGCAGCATTTTAATCCAGTCTGCAAGTTATACACACCCAGCCAAACAAATCATCCTTAACTCATGATGAATGCTATAATATGTCATAATATATATCTATCTCACATTCATCAAGAATTTTTCTTCTGTTTTTTTCCTTTCTTTTCAATACAAAATCAAAATGTAGTTCGATTAAGTGTTGAATGCTATTCATTGATATGTATTTCAATCTCATTAGTTGTTAGGATAACGTGTAGGAATAGTTTTATACTAAACTTCCGCCTAATGAAGACCCATTATTATCATTATTATTATTATCATAGTAACTCAAAGAGGAGTGGTGTTCATATAGATGAAAACCCAAAGTCATCTCCACAACGAGCTCCACAATTTTTATTTCAAAGATCACTCTTTACTACTTTGGTGTTTAAATCACTATTTTCGTCGACCTCTACAAAAAATGACATTTTACGTATAATAATTTTTGAATGAAAAATCGACTGTTATTGAAGGCAAATACTTTTAGTCCGAAGACAATTACTTTTCGTCCGCTGTGTTCACTATGATACGGCACGGCACGGTACGTTAATTAATTTATGGAAATCTGACAGATTTCACGTGTGAATAAGACCGTGTTGCGAATATAAGTGTAAAAAATCATTATGTGCCTAGGCGAAAAACGGTTTAGTGTCTCGCCTGATTGCTATCCTCGGCTGGGCCTCGGCTATCAATTTGCAGGCTCAACTATAACAGACAGTTTTTCGTCCTTGGTACATGAATAGCTATTTATGTAAACATGGAAAATGTTTTTTTCAAGAAATGTCTCCGAGAATGTCTTACTACTAGAATATTTTATTGACCTATAACAGATACTCACTCTCGATTTAACTATTCAAGATCTTTTGAATTAATACGATTTGACGAGTATCACTTTTGTTCTCTAGATGTTGTATGTCGAATTCATAATGTATTGGTTGGTAAGATTCAAATATTGAATAAATATTGACATTCCATATAATTACCAATCAATATAGGTATTATCAATTTCACAATATCTGTGACACTATCAATGAAAGTTCGTTACCTTCAGTAAGATATCCCTAGCCTGCCGACAAAAAATAACGGAAATGCTTGGCGGCAACTTTTC